CTTGTCGACAGTCAGCCCGGCTTTAAATCGTATCTTGTTAGTTATCGAGAAGTTTTAAAAAAAGATGTTCTTTTTTTTCGAAACAAAAGCGGTTTGACTATTTATATTTTAAAAAGCTGTCTGCAATATGAGGAGAACATCAACACACTTTAAGGACTATAAAGAAAGAGGGAGCTATAACCACCTGTTTGGTCAAACATATAATACTTTAAGGCAGTTCAGTTTTTATCTTTGAGGGGCCCTCTAAAAAGAAGGGGAGAAAGCTAGAGGAAAAGACAGACTCGATAAAATAACGCACTCCACAAAAGGTGAACAAAGAGATAAACAGTTCTATAATGAAAAGAAGCTGGTGAAAATACAAACCTTCTGTAAGGTACTAAGGAAAAGACCCAATGGTCAGTGTTAAGACACTAGTTTTGAGACTAGACACGATTACTCATTTTTCAGAAATCATATAATTTTTGTTCTTTTAAATAATTTGTTTTTATGATAATCGCCAAAACTTGCATCAAAGTTTGAAGCCTTACTGAAGTTATAAACGAATTTAAAATTCGGTAGTGCGTTCCCGTCTTGCCTACCAGGACTGATGTCAACAGGACTTCCGTGTACGCGCTACTTTCCGAGTGCCGAGCCAATGACAAACTTTTTTTCGGATTATATAGAAAGTCTTTGTCTTAATGTGATCCAAGAGAAAATTTTGCTTTCGCTTTTTCACCAATGTTAATCGGTGGGTGGGCACGGGTCGAACTGCAATGAACATCTATGGCAATGAAAGAAGTGCGTAGTCCTTAACACTCATGTAGGCTATCGTGAATGAGGTGTTCTTTGTTTTTAATTACAGGTACACTGCATTTGGTTGGTTTGTTTGTTGTTGTTGTTGTTATTTTGTGAGGTTTTTTCGTTTTTTGTTTTTTTTAGGGGGGAGGGGGTTAATTTACCCCCCCCCCCCCAGAGACGTTAGAAGACAGTAGCCTCGAACAGTATTTTTCAATAATAGTTACTATGTTGCGGGTGTCTTAATGTATCACCTCCTACCCTTACACTGTAAAACTCTCGCTTAAAATAGGATTTACAGTCTAAATTTAGGTTGACATTAACTAGTTTTTACTCTAACGTCGCAGGTGGTGGGATGGCGCCACTGGTAGGTCCTACTTCTTTTCTTTCCATCTTTTGTTTTTGTCATGCTTTTTCACTGCAGTATAAACATGACCGTTACTGGTCCGTTACTGCGTCGATGTGCTTCTCTTTACTCAAACTCAAACTCAAACTCAAACTCAAAAACTCAAACTCAACTCAAATTCTTATCGGTGACATAAAAGTTGAATTTTCGTCAATTCTACGTTTTCTTTTTTTTTGTTTTGTAGTGATGTGTTGACCAAAAGACTTTATTGTCAAAGCGTGTGGTCCTCGCTTTGGAGGGTTCTTTTTCTTTTTCTTTCTTGTTTGTTTGTTGCTGCTGTTGTTTTTATAGTCCGTCGGTTCTGTTTATCTTTAATATATCCCCCCCCCTCTCCCCTTCTCTCTCCCTCTCTCTCCCTCCCTCTATCTCTCTCTGTGTCTATTCCCTTCTCTCTCTCTCTCTCTCTCTCTCTCTCTCTCTCTCTCTCTCTCTCTCTCTTTCTCTCTCTCTCTCCCTCTCTCTCTCTTTGAATAGTAAATGACCTCAATCGTATCGATATAGCCAGCATCATGTAGGCCTAGGCTACTTACCCTAACCGGCGGTTGCGGTGCAGCGGGTAGCGGCAAGGCGCTTCTCCATCGCTCGCAGATGACTCGCCTTCGATTCCCGAGTCCAGACACATTTTTATCGAGTATTCGGTCGGTCTTTCTGCTTTTGACCTTGTATCCCTATCCCTCTCAGCCGGGTTAGCCGTGACATGCAGGGTCCAAGCTCGCCTCCTAAATGGACTGAATTGTTAAGATGGGGTCGTAAAACACTTATATATACATTTTTGTAATTGTTTACTTAAACTGAGCTAATCTGAAGTGTTACGTTGCAGCAGTCGTTGATGGTGGAACGTTCATATTCAGGTGTTGTGCGTTGGTCCTATAAAAAGGGAGGGGGGGGGGATGTCAGTTGAAAGTTTCTTATTTATACTCATTAAGTATTATATTTCATATTCAGGTGTTGTGCATAGGCCCT